ATTGGTTTATTTATATGAAAGTCTTCAAAAAGCTCATAAGGAAAAAAATCTGTTATGTTTACATTTAATTTTTCCATGAGCTTTTTTTAACACACCCCTACCATTGGCACTGTGTGCTATTTGTCTTCCTAAGCTCATGATGTAGCTATTTGCTCAGGAGAAAGTGTAATGGAAGCTGGGCTCCATGCTTTCCTCCTCCCCCTGGGTCTGATCGTGAAACAGGTGACTTAGAAAGAATCAAGTCCCAGAACCTTTCTGTTTGCCCCTGTGCTAAAGAACACTCTGACGGCTGCATCACAGACGCACGGGGTTGGGAGGATGCAGGGAAAGCATGAAAGCACTATTTAAAGTTTCAGATGACAAGTTTTCAGTCTCATTTGTGGCTAGGGAAATGGTTGTTCAGCTGGGTTGAAATCTAAACATCTCCTTTTCAGTATAACTTGTCTTACTTGTTTTCTTCCATAGTATGAGGTTGATGAGCTGCGCCGAAAGAAAGAGATCACAGTGAGAGGGGGTGATGTTTGCCCTAAGCCTGTATTTGCTTTCCATCATGCTAACTTCCCACGTAAGTGTCGTTTAATCCAGGATCCAAATCGTAGCTTTGGGTTCAAAGGTGAATGAATGATGTACTAGGTTGTTGAAAAGTTCTGGCCTAGGCTTTTATTGACAGGCCGGTGCAGACCTTTCATAAGGGTGAGACTGGTAGTACCTGACTTGACCATATAATGCTGAGCGAGACTTTTTTGTAACAATTAAATGTATATATTAATATATATATTGATAACTATAAAAATAAAGGATAAAAACAATTTTTTTTCCTGAAATTAAATATTCCGGCGTTTATAGGGTTCAGACATGTTTGAATTGTGAACAGTTCTGAAAACCCTCTTTTGGTGTTTTAATTTAATTTTTATGTATGTTTAAAAATAGATCTATCTATATATGTGATGTTTCCAATTCCCCAAGACCAACATCTGCTTTGTAAAGATGCTGATTAATAAAAGGCAGTGACAGTATGGGCGGAATGAGGTTTCAGCTGATCGGGGCTGACTTAGAGCGTGCAGCACAGGACTTCTGAGGGAGCTTCCTATGCTTTGGGACTCGGGGTTTTTTAAGAGTATTCGGTGTTAGAAAGTAAATAAGGTTATCTGTGGCAGCAAAGGGGTTTTTTATTGGCATCCAGCACTCTTGAAGCATGCAGTTCAGTTGTTCGGCCATCACCATGACCATCCGCGCTTCTCCCATTGCCGTAACAAACCCAGTGTGTCCTGGGTGTTTTTCCTCCACCTCCACCTGGGAGGAGCATGCCTAGGTTGTGATCAACTTACTAGAGCAAGGTGTTTCTTTTTGAGGGTTTCGCGTTTTCTACAGACTTTGACTCTGCCTTGAAGAAAACTGCAGTGAGACTGTTTCTAAGCTAGGTGGCCCTGAATTTTGTGATCAATAAGGGACTTCTTGATCAATAAGGGATACTCTAGGCCAGCACTTCTCAACCTGTGGATTGCTACCCCTTTGGGGGTCAAACGACCCTTTCACAGGGGTTGCCTAAGACCATCGGAAAACACATAAATGTTTCACAACATATAATTATATATTTTGTGATTAATCACTATGCTGTAATTATGTTTAATTTGTAACAATGAATATAAGTCCTGTATATCAGATATTTATATGACAGTGCATAACAGTAGCAAAATTAGTTATAAAGTAGCAATGATAATAATTTTATGGCTGGGGGTCACCACAACATGAAGCATTAGGAAGGTTGAAAACCACTGATCTGGAGGTGGTGTTGGTGTGTGTGTGTGTGTGTGTGTGTGTGTGTTTTGGGGGTGGGGTAGTGAGTTGGTCAGGAGATAAAGTAAATAAAGAAAAAGCCCAGTTTTCTTTGGAGCGATTTATAAGCTGGGTAAATCTTCCCATCAGTGATCTTAAATATTTTTAAAGGGGTGTTACTACTTTTACCAAAAAAATAATAGCTTGTTTATTCTGCCTTGCAGAGTATGTAATGGATGTTCTGATGGATCAGCATTTTACAGAACCAACTCCGATTCAGTGCCAGGGTTTCCCCTTGGCTCTGAGCGGCCGGGATATGGTAGGCATCGCTCAGACTGGCTCTGGGAAGACATTGGCGGTATGTACTACCTTGTGCTACCCTTTGCTAGATTCTATTTTGCCAGGTAGAGTCTCAAGTTTTGGTAACATTGTAATTCAGATAGTGTGTTGCTGATAATCTTGGCATTTGTAGGTATCTGAAATATGTGGAAGTATTCAGATTTCAAGTTTATGTTGTTCACATATGGGCAATGGTGAATTCTGTTCATTATTTTCCTGTTTACAAATTAGTAATTGCTATGATAAGTTAGAACGATTACAGTAATGACTTAGATAATAATGGTGTCATTTTTGTTCCCCTCAGTATTTGCTGCCTGCAATCGTTCATATTAACCACCAGCCATATTTGGAAAGGGGAGATGGCCCAATTGTAAGTGTTTTGGTTTTTATAATCCCAAGTTACTATCACTTAGTACCTACTGTGTTTTGCACATTGCTTTATATAAAACCTTTTTCCAAAAACTCATTATTAATTGAGAATTACTACATATATAATTCCATAGTTCAGTCATGTCAAGTAGTATTGTACAATTGCTACCACAGTTTCCAAACATTTTTTTCTTCCTGGACTCCTTGACATTGTTTCCCCCTCCCCAGAATCTAATTTTATTCTCACCTTTACCCCATGCTTGGAAGTGGTATTAATCCCCATCATACTGATAGACAAAGTGACGTGAAGTTTATTTAAGTGACTTGCTCAAGGTCACGGCTGAACTAGAGCTCAAAGTAATTGGTCAACTTCTAAGTCCTAATAGGCTTGAGTAGACCTGTTCCTTAGGCTTTCCCAAGCTATAGTCTTTATGGAAGACGGCTATCGCAGCCTTCTCCTGTGGAGTGGCTGATAGGTTCAAACTACTGAGTTGTCAGTAGCACAGCGCTTTGCTTCTAGAGCGCCCGCATTCAAACTAAAGGCTGGCTCAACACTATGCATAGGGTCTTTTGGGAAGATGGGGGCATAAATCCCCCCATCTCCTCTTTTTTAAACTTTGTGAATTAGGTGAAAGTTTACAAAGTTGACTAGAGTTTAGGTTCAGTAATTCGTGCACATTCTGATCTCAGCTCATTTGTTGTCGTCCTCCTTCCATCATTTGTCCCACTTGCTCTCCGTTGATTTCCATTTTGAGTTCTCCTGCTCTGCTAGTCCTGAGCGTTGCCTTAGCGTGAGTGCTGCTCTTTTGATCTTAAGTGCTTGGTCTAACTTGGAGGTGACTCCATTTCAGACCTGAGAGTTAAAAGCCACCATCTTTGGGTTCCATATAACACTGTATTTATGGTATGCTTAGTGTCTTAAGGATTTTCTGTGCACTGAATTCAAGTGCAGTCCTTAATTGCTGGCTGTGTCGGTGAGCTGTTAGGAACACAAGATTGATGATGAGGTCCCTGCCCTGTGGATCTCAGAGTCAGATGGAGGATTTGTGTGTTTGAGGGCTTGGGTTTTGGTTGGATGAGTTTGCACATAGCACAGCACAGACAGTCCTGGGGTTAAGAATAAGGTGTGTCCCTGAATATGTTTAAGAACTTGGAATTAGTGCGTGTGGGTTTTTTAGCCTTTTAATGCAGTCAAGGATTTTCTATCACAAATTCAGGAATTCAAAGCTACCAGCCACTCCGTGGGATAATAGGATTTCTACTCCTGTAAAACGTTACAGTCTCGGAAACCCCCAGGGAATGGCTGTGAGCCAGCATTGACTCGTGGCAGTGAGTTGAGTTTTTAACTATTAGCACACAGGTGGAATGATGCAGGCACCCTCACTTGGTTAACTTCTGGCATTTTGGTTTCTACAATTTTTGTGTGCTATTTCAGTGAATTTCTAGACTATATTACCTAGTTCTAACTATTTGCCTCTCACCAAATCAATAAGTGGGTTTATAGTATTCCCATGGAAAAAATTGTTAATTAGATATTAGTAAGAAACACAGGTAAATAAGAAAATGGCAGAGCTGAAAACTTCCTGGTTTCCAGCTCAAACTCTTTGCCAGGCACATTAGGCCAAAACAAATGATTTTTACATACACAGGGTCTGCCAATCGAAAAGTAATGACTTTTTTGCCTTTGCTTTTGGTTTTTACTTGGACTTGGGATGGGTGTCTCATTTGGCTTGCTTGTTGGTTTGTTGCAGTGTCTGGTTCTGGCTCCCACCCGAGAGCTTGCCCAGCAAGTGCAGCAGGTGGCTGATGACTATGGCAAGTGTTCTCGGTTGAAGAGCACTTGCATTTACGGAGGTGCTCCTAAAGGTCCCCAGATTCGGGACCTGGAGAGAGGTAATGAGAGGATCTTTTAATTTGTCACTAATTCTAATATAGTTTGCTAGTTTCAGTGCATGAAATTGAGGAGGAAAATAGTACTTTTATGGGGGGGGGGCTACTCTTAGCAGCTTCAAAAATCTTTTATCATTTTGATTGAAGAGAGACAGGGCTAGAGATTTTACTCTGGAGGTTTGATGAGAAGCCCTAAGTTCTCCTTACATCGTGCTCTTGCAGGTTCAGGCTCAAACTGAGCTGGTGCTTCTTTGTTGGCTAAGGTTCGGGTGGGTGGGGTGTACTGGAGTATTCTTACTAAGCTAACACTTATCCACCCTATAGGGGTTGAGATCTGCATAGCCACCCCTGGGCGCCTCATTGATTTCCTGGAATCCGGAAAGACAAATCTTCGCCGTTGTACTTACCTTGTGCTGGATGAGGCCGACAGAATGCTTGATATGGGCTTTGAACCCCAGATCCGGAAAATTGTTGACCAAATCAGGGTATGTAAAGCTGACACTTTGTTATCTTGATGTCCCTTTCCTGTGGCAATTCCTTAGCTTAAAACATTACCTCTCTTGATAGCCTGATAGGCAGACTTTGATGTGGAGTGCCACCTGGCCCAAAGAAGTTAGACAGCTCGCTGAGGATTTCCTCCGGGATTACACCCAGATCAACGTGGGTAATCTGGAGCTGAGTGCCAACCACAACATCCTCCAGATTGTGGATGTCTGCATGGAAAGTGAAAAAGACCACAAGTATGGAAGAGAAGTCACTGTATTGGGTTAATGCGGATAAATCTAAGGTCGTCCCTGAAAACCGGAGTCCCCAAACCATGAAAGCTTGGCTAACTTTAACAATCCAGCCGTCCCCTTATAATAGAGTCAGCAGAACGATGTGGTTTAACTCAAGGACTCTGGCTGTAGCGCTGCTGATGAGCAGCGATATGGTTTTGGGTGGCTTAGTTTCTTTACGGCTAATGGAGATAATCAGATGTGCTGTGAGGGTGGTATTGAATGAAGGGTTTCTTACAAATGTAGAGCAGTATCTGAATCATAACACGCTCTATATATTTATTAAACTAATGTAAAAGTAAATTAACCATAGTTTTGAGGTTAATTTCCAATGTATTGTTCTACGTGTAATGTTATTGCTGGTCTTGCTGTCAGATTGATCCAGCTCATGGAGGAAATAATGGCTGAGAAGGAAAATAAGACCATTATATTTGTAGAGACAAAGAGACGCTGTGATGACCTCACTCGAAGGATGCGAAGAGATGGGTGAGTGCCAAACTGTACAACTAGCCCTGGATTTGATAGCTTAGGAGGACGTTTTTAATTAGTATTATGAATGCTATGTTATATGGTGGAACTGTTTTTTTTGTTTTTTTGACCTTAGTTTTCTTTATTTTTAAATCTTCTAAAATGTTGATCACTTTTCTTCGGACAGTTGGCCAGCTATGTGTATCCATGGAGACAAGAGTCAACCAGAAAGAGACTGGGTACTCAATGGTGAGTTTAAAACTATATATTTGTAAGCCCCTGCTCTAGTTCAGGGATCAGAAAATTTCTTTCTTTCTTTTTTGTAATCATTTTATTAGGGGCTCATACAACTCTTATCACACAATCCATACACACATCAGTTGTGTAAAGCGCATTTGTACATTCATTGCCCTCATCATTCTCAAAACATTTCCTCTCCACCTAAACCCCCGGCATTAGGTCCTCATTTTTCCCCTCCCTCCCGGCTCCCCCCCAGAAAATTTATTTCTCTAAAGGGCCAGATATTAAATATTTCCAATTTTGCTTTCTGGATGGTATTACCTGTTGGAGGTATTCAGCTCTTTTGTCAGGAGTGCAGAACCATCCCTTGGCCCTACGTAAGGGGTGGCTTGACTCTGCCAAGAGAGCTGGGTTTTTATGTTTGGCCTGCGATCCATAGTGCATCCCCATCACAAAGTCATGGTTCGATGCATCTGTGTTCCAGTCCTGTTTTTCCTGACGAGTCTGAGTGGGAAGTCCACTGAGATAGACCATATTTAAGACATAATGTGAATTGAACTTTGGGCTAACTGCAAGGTCAGCAGTTTGAAACCACCAGTCACTCTGGGGGAGAAAGACTAGGCTTTCGATTCCCATGAAGCGTTACAGTTTCAGAAGCACAGTCAGTTCTACTCTGTCTTACAGCATTGCTATGAGACAACATTGACTCAGTGGCAGTGGTGGGGGTCGGTTTTGGTTTTGCTTTTGATTTTGCTCCACATTGCCTACACTGGCCTTCCTTCCTTCCCCATGCTTTTAATTTTGGGTATTTCCTTTGGGAGATAGTGTCCATGTTGTTTACCTTTAAGGGAACACAAGCCTAATTTGTGTTAGTTTTGGTTACAAATTTCCACACCATTTTAAATCTGCTTTATGAGTAGTAGTGGTAGAGAAATTTGGGGGAGGGGTTGATTTTTTTTGTCTCTTGCCCCACTGCTAACAGTGAGTATAACAGAGAACTATAAAAGAATGACTGGTCTTTGCAAAGGGGATTGCCTTTTTTTTTTTTTTTTGACACCATTATTTGGAATTTTAACACAATCGGGTGAAAGTTGGGATCTCTGGGAGTGTTTGCCTGATGCTGTTTTCAGACCTGTCTCCCGATTATCAGCTTGGAGTCATGGTAGTGCTCTTGCCTTGCAGAGTTCCGTTCCGGAAAGGCTCCCATCCTCATTGCCACGGACGTCGCCTCCCGAGGGCTAGGTTTGTTTCAACAGGCCTCTATTGGTGGTCCATTCTGTGTGTCTTTTGGGTTAAAGATTTGTTTGTCATTTCAATTTAGAGTTGGATGTTGGATATATGTGTGTTCAGATAAATATTTTAAATTTAGAGAACAATAAGAAAGCGTGATTTCCCCAACAATTTTCTTTTTTTACCCCTTTTTTTTCCTTTTTAAATTTTCAGTCTCTTCCTGCTCCTAACAAACAGGCTTTGGTCTCTAGCAAGGCCTCGGCATGACTGTCAGACCGTCCGAGGGAGAGGAGACATTGCGGTTGTGCAGCCCAACTTCGGGCATTGTTTTGTTTTTCTGGCTGGGTTTTTTAATGAGTGGTTGAATCCAGCTGTTGTGACCTTGTTTCTTTGGTTATTCTTTCTCCCATATCAGTTTCTCCATCTGGACTGGGCATATATGGAGTCCAATGCTAAGAATGCTAATGTATTCTTGAAATTTACTGAGTCTGTACTCTGACTAAATCCACACTGCCCAATCTTACTGGCTGAATAGGGTGGTCACGGGCACTTCGTTTGACTCTCTGTTTGCCCTTACTTGTATTATAAATACATTGACTTCAGTCGGAAGATTTTCTTCTGAAGTTTTCTACCTATTATGACTCAAGATGTAAATGATAATTGAAAAGACTTTGTTAGCCCGTTAATCTCAGCTAATTAGGGCTAAATTTAAAAAAAAAAATCCATCCCAAGGAAATTTTAAAACTGATAGTCATTTAGCAACTTGCCCCGTGAAGTGTAACCAACCCTGCTCTGTTAGCATATTCATCATAAAAAGGACAAAGTATTCAAACTGGACTTAACAAGTGATGCCGCCTTCTACAATGCACTCCTCATTTTCTCCTTCAGAGGTGGTGGCCTGGAGCCATGGCAGAATTGCCCCTGTCTTCTGAGGTCAGGTCTGGGTGTGTGTGGTCAGGACTTGGGCCTGTTGGAGAAGAGGCTGCGGCCTGAAAGCAGCTTCCACACAAGCTCTCAGTAGCGGTGGTTTGAGCAGGCTTGCTATGTGCTGGTAGCTTCTTTGTGCATCTTGCCTAGACAAATTAAACTAGATTTGCTCCATGTCCCCCTTCCCACCCCTTCCCCCATTCCTAAACCGATTCAATTGGCTGTCACGAGAATAATGTAGACTCTTCATCCTGCCCCCCGCTCACCCAGATGTGGGGAGAGGGAAGGTCCCGAGTCTGTTTCTTGTTACTGAACAGCAGTGCTTGCTTTGGGCCCCTTTGTTTGCTGCCGTGTAAAATCAAAAGGAGGGGAAACCCATCCCAATGGCAGAATTCTGACCAAGGTCCTACAAGATACTGGAAAGTGAAGGCGTCTACTTCGTAGACAGGGGTGCGATTTTTAGCTGAGTCACCAGGCCTTTTTTTCACTTCCTGTCCAACGATGGCCTCTTAAATGTTCCCTTCAGGTAAGTTCTTTGATGATTCCCATAATTTATTAAAAGTCATCCTCCGGAAACCACTACTCTGTTTCCAATGAGGTATTTTTCCTTTTTTTTTGTTTTAAATGACACGCTGTTAAACTCAAAAGTATTGAATTTATTTTTTGTTTTGTTTTTTAACAGAAGCTTTGATATCAGCTGCAGCTCACTCAGTACATGGCTGAGGCAAATCTACATTGGCCCGAAGCAGCTCTAGATGAGCCTGTTGGCTAGTCTTAGTCCACCCTCCCCATTAGTGCTTGGAGATGGCAGGCCATGCCGTAGGTCTTTTTGATGGCAGACAAAAAGCTATCACAGGCAGCTGGCCACAACGGGAACATTTCCGTTCTTACCTTGCTCCGGCATCTTCTCTATCGGCAACAAGATAATCTTGTGGCAGTGCACATGCGCCACCAGAGCAGGCTAGACTGGAGCCAAGCAGATCCCTGCACCTGCTCTTATGTGCCCTCCACAGTCCGCTCAGTGTGTGCACACAGCACAGCTCTCTAGTCTGAAGGATTCCAACCCTCTGCTCCCCAGTGAGCCTCTCCTGAGCCCCTTCCCCAGGGTAGTGTTTGAACTGTTGGCACCAGCCCCCTGGTGCTTTCTGCTAGGAAAGCGTGCTCTGGGGGGCCAGTCCGCCCGGCCAGCTTGCTCTGTGGAACTGACTGAGGAGCACTGGCCTCGCCCTGAAGATGAGGCCTCAGGGCCCAATCCCCTGCCCACCCGCGCCCCCCACCCTCCCAACAGACATCTGCCCTTCCTCTGCACACTTTTTTTCCCTTGGTTGCATCAACGACCCTAGCCGGAGACTCACGCTGCCCCCTGTGATAACTGCCTTCTCGTCTTTCTGGTGTGATTCAGGACTTTAGGGTCAGTAACGACTGAGGAGCCTTTATTGTAATAAGAAACAGACACATTGCCCCTTCTTCATGGACCCTTTAACAATAGCGGAATTTTCTTTTTCTTTTTTTTTCTCTTTTTTTTCCAATCATCTCCCCTGTCCCCCTGAAATTAATCCAAGTCTGGGCAATAGATGCAGTCTGACCCTTTGGATGTAACTCAGCATTTTTTTTTTTATTATTAATGATTTTTTTCTACAATCACCCCAATATATCCTTGGGGGAGGCGTTGGAGGACCTGAAATTTTTACCCGAACCCAGGTTCTCCGGCGCTTGGCAACCAAAAGGGGCTACAGAGAAGCATCTAAGCCAGTTCACAGAGCGAGCGTGTGTGGGGACCTCTCACTGCCACGGACCCTTGATGCATGCTCCCCGCGCTCCAGTGGTCCCGTGTCAGAAGGCGGAGTTTTCGAAAGGAGGCCGCCAAAAATAAAAGGCAAAGAGACGGGATCGGCTGCAGCGGTTTCCCAAAGGAGGAGGGAGTGTGCATCGGTCTGGTAACAAACAGAGAATGTTTTTTCATTATTTCTATCACAAAAATCTGTGTTTTATCTAGGATATTTCCTGAATATTCTTTGTAAAATGCAGATTTTTTTTTCTCCACAAAACATTAGGAGTCTTTCTGTTATATTCTTAGGCTTGTATGTTTAAGTAGGTAAAAATATACACTCAGCGGGAAGCATTACACTAACATTTGCATCCTTGAAGCATTAGGAGGTATTTCACTTCCCAACAGTGGACAGAGTATTAAACTTGTGTCTCAGGGTTTCATGGTTCTTCCACTCTGGCCATTTACTTACTGTGTCCCACGTCATGTAGAAAAGAGTCAAAATAGCCTTAGATTGTGCTGAAGCCCCATTTGGCAGAAGCTGGGCTCGGTAGTAGAGTGAAATTTTAGTGTAATGTGCTCTTGTGGTAATGGACTGGAGAGATCCTATGGAGGTTTCAGCACAGGAAAACTCTGTACTACTTTTTGGCTCTGATCAGAGTCTTTAAAACAACAGCAGAAATTAACGAAACTACCCAAGTGTTTACATCTCCTTGAAAATGTAGTCATAAAATAATGCGGAGTCCCGTCCCCCCCCCTTCACATTTGCTCTGTGATTGGTTTAAAGGTAAGTCTGTTATATTACTGATAGATTTTGCCAGGCTTCTCCCAACAGAGTAGAAATTCTTTGGCCGTGTCACTTGACTGGCACAGCTTTGTAAACATTCCCAGTTTCAAATGGGATGGAACTGGAATTTGTTCATCTGGAGACCATTCTTGGTGTGACAGCTCCTGTCTGCATATTGGTTGTAGTACAGAAGAGGCAGGAGTGTGAGTGGCTGGCTGGGTGGGATTCCCAGAGGGTCGTGCCACTGGTGAAGATGCCGCTACCTGTGCATGTCCCAAGAGTCACCAATCAGTCGGTCCTCTTTTACTCTGTTGGGATGAGTCTTCTTTGGTGTCTGTTCAGAGCGGTTACTAACTTTGTCTTCTCTCCTCTTGCTGTCATCTGCATTCGTGCTTCCCACCTGTCGTTGGCATGTCCTTTACCTTCTCTTTCCCTGCCACGTCAACCCACACTCTGTGACTCATCGATGGCTCGGAAGATGTGGAAGATGTCAAGTTTGTGATCAACTATGACTATCCAAACAGCTCTGAAGATTACGTGCACCGCATTGGCCGAACAGCCCGGAGCACTAACAAAGGCACGGCCTATACCTTCTTTACACCGGGGAACCTGAAGCAGGCCAGGGAGCTGATCAAGGTGCTGGAAGAGGCCAATCAGGCTATTAATCCCAAACTGATGCAGCTGGTGGACCATCGTGGAGGCGGCGGCGGAGGGGGTAAGGGTAAGTCCTGGAGTTCTCCAGGTACTGCCAAGGTATCACTTTCTGGCCATGATGGCTTGTTTTTATTTGCAGTGACTATTATTAAAGATGTTTTTTATTGTACAGAACAGTGCCATTAATGATGGGTTTACATAACTTCTTATGTAAATAGGAAACAATGCTCAGGAGCTTATAGTAATGCCCTATTTTTATAACAGAATAATGTAAAGACTGACCCTTGTATTTGTGAGATCCATGGTGAATGATCAAAATTAAGCAGAGTGGGAACACCCTGATGGTATGGTGGTTATGCATTGGGCAGCGATCCGAAAAGTCAGCAGTTCTAAACCACCAATCGGTCTGAGGAGGAAGTCTTTCTCCTCCCGTAAACAGTCACAGAAACCCTCGGGGACAGTTCACCCGTGTCCTATAGGGATGCTCAGAGGCATTGACTCAATGGCAGTGAGTTTGGTTGGTGGTTGGTGGCTGCATCAGAAGGCTCAGTGGCTTCCTCCCAGGGAAGCAGCCTCTTACGATGATAGGACCTGGGGATGGAGCTTGGAGGTGAAACCTGCGTTTGATATGAAATGAGAAGGGGTCGTTGGAGAGTTCGTGGGAAAGTGGAACTTAAAAGCTAATGAATGGCATTTTACCACAGACTTTCTAGAGCTGCCTCATAAAGTAGGATCTGGGCCTTGATTCCTGGTTGGGTAGTTTTTACTTCATGTTTGCTTCCTGTCCAAGCTTGTATCTTGAAGCTGCATGACAGCCATACCTGAGAAGGTAGTGAAAATGGGCTGTGTAAACCTAAGAGCTCATGCTGTTTGCCCAAGTTCGTGAGGCGATTCTGATGAAGATAGGCTCATAAAGCAGATGTTTGCGAGCTAGTGCGCACAGAGTGATGCAGTGGGTTCAGCATTTGGGCAGCTAACTGAGGTTGGCCGTCGAGGCCTACCAGCTGCTCTGCGGAGAAAGATGCAACGGCGCATGCCTGAACAGCAGCCTAAGCTTATGGCTTGGGGACAAGTGGTTAATACGCAAATTTCTGCTCGCTAATCTCAGATAGGCTCATATACCCAGTTAAAGAATCCAGTTACGGACTCGGGCTTTCCGCATGCTTTCCGCTGGCTGCCTAAAGATCAGGAAAGAACGTTGTATGCTTTTTGTGTACTCTAGAGTTTTTGAATTATAGTTATGTTTGGATCACAGATCTGGCACTAAAATGTGTTTTTCCCATCAGGAGGCCGTTCTCGATACCGGACCGCTTCTTCAGCTAACAATCCCAACCTGATGTATCAGGATGAGTGTGACCGGAGGCTTCGAGGAGTCAAGGATAGTGGTCGGAGAGACTCTACAAGTTACCGGGATCGAAGTGAAACCGATCGGGCTGGTTATGCTAATGGCAGTAGTTATGGGAGTCCGAATTCCACCTTTGGAGCACAAGCTGGCCAATATACCTATGGTCAAGGCACCTACGGGGCGGCTGCCTATGGCACCACTGGCTATACTACGGCTCAGGAATATGGCGCTGGCACCTATGGGGCTGCCGCCGCAGCCGCAGCCGCAGTCGCTGCTGCCGCCACCACAGGGAGAAGTACCCAGAGCTCAAGCCAGCAGTTTAGTGGGATTGGCCGCACTGGGCAGCAGCCACAGCCGCTGATGTCACAACAGTTTGCACAGCCTCCAGGAGCTACCAGTATGATAGGTTACATGGGGCAGACCGCCTACCAATACCCCCCTCCTCCTCCTCCCCCTCCTCCCTCACGTAAATGAAGCCACTCACAGGGTGTGAAGGGGGCATACTTGCAAAGTTAAAGGAACGCTGTCTTTACCTCTCCCTCCCCCCTTCCCATCTCTCCCCCTTTATCTTTTTTCTGTTCCCACCATTGTGAGTGGTCTTTCCTGCAGATTAGTTAGAATTCACTGCCAGGTATCTTCTGCCCGCTAAGACCATCCAGTCCGTGCTAACAGATTTTGTAAAAGAAAGATATATATATAGCTGGCTGGAAGAGATGGCCTTTTCCCAGCTTTTTGCATGTTGAGGATATTTGAGCAGATATTTTTCATTTTAAAAGAAAAAAGATGTTAGTCCCTTTTGTGGGAGCCCAGTTTTTGTTGTCTGGAGGGTGGGATAGGGTGATGGACTGGTTTGATCCATTGAAGATTATGGCATCTGGGCTTTCTGTCACTCCAACTGCTGCGTTAGAAGAGCAAGAGAGGTGTCCTGCCCTCATTTCCCACAATGCCATCTCCTTCTATTGGGAGCTGGTGCCTCAAGCCAGACGACTTTGAAGACGGTGCTTCGTCTTTGTCCTTTGCGCTGATGGCTTCTACCATTCATTCAGCAGTTTTTAAATTCCTGATTTGTCTCCTTTACTCTCCTCCTCTACCCAATTTACTTGAAAAAGATCTCTTTTAGTGTCAGGTTAGAAATGGAATTGTTGGTTCCAAGGTTTTAAGTGTGTTTTGCTTTTTTAATTAAAAACCACAAGTGTTTACTGCAGTGGTCAAGCTTGCATTCAGCCTCTGGGTGGGAGCTCCCTAGTCTCCTCCCCTCACATATAGCCAGGGACCATCTATGAAGTGCATTGGCCAGCCAGACAGTTGCTGGGAGCAGGGATGCTCAGCTCACCGGAAGCTTGCATCACTAACCGCTTGTCCGTGCATTCATTGGCAGTGTAAAAGCACCTTTAACAATAAACCAGGCACTCAGAGTGGGCAGGTTTTTCTTTCTAATCTCAGTATTTGTCAAGCTAGAGTGAAAGCAAGTCTTTATCAGCTACTCAGCCCTTTGGCGTTGTTAACCTTGACCAAGGACTCACCAGGGTTTGGGAACTCGCTTCTCTTCATACCCTCCTCCTCTGCTGTGCTAATAGCCACTGGATGCAAACTGTGCTCAGCATCCTTGTGCACTCGGCTTTTTGCAGGTAGGTAGAGCTTCAGAGAGTTAGTGCCTAAGGTTAAGAGTTGCTTCACTTTACCTCCACCGGAAGGTAGGTGGATTTGTCCCCCACTCTGTAGTCATCCTCCTTTCTTGGGCACGCAGTTTTATTTCTGCTCTTGTGTTCACCGTAACAGGACCGCGAGGGCAGACAGGCCCCGTGAGAGAACTACTGGTTTGGGTTTGGGTCTTTGTTTTCCTTTTTTCTCAGTGTTTCCCACAGTGTAGTCACAAGGAGGATGCTCCACTGTGTGGCTCAGCTGCGGCCTAAGAGTGCCGGTTTATAAGCTCAAAACTTCCCTAAATAGTGGCGGGGTTTTTTGTTTTTCTCTCCCCCCTTTTAAAATTCTTTAGGGAGAAAGGGGATGGTTTCTGAGGGTTCTGAGCATTGGCTGAATGGCCAGCTTACAGGTAGGTTGTAACGTGCATGGAAGAGCTTGGACACCAGCCCCTGACTCCCTCCCTCCATGTTGTCTCCCCCTCCTCTGGAGGACGGTAGGCACAGGGAGAATGGGACAAAATGCCGTGCTTTCAAACCAAAGCTGCAAACTCCCAGCCCTGCCCCAAATTAATTTGTAGATCTTAAGCACTGACCCGTCCATTAATGGACATTTCTCTCCAATCAAAATGTTACCTACCCAGAGGTCCTACAGGTGCCACCAGGTGGGCACGCTACCCCCCTTGCAACAGCTCTTAAAAGCAACCATTAGGGAAGAATGATCTTTGGGCAAGCAAGTGCTATTTGCACTCCCCTTTTACGACCAAGGACATTGTCCTAAAATCAGAATGACAGCCAGTTGCTAGTATTGTGGCCCGAGCAGTGAAACCTAGCAGAGTCCTCTCGTGTCACTGTGCCCTCTGTGCAAATGGCGAAGCCCTGGTGGGGGTTGGCTGAGCTGTGAGGACTTCTCATCTGAAAGGTTGGTGGCTTTTCTGGGGATCAGTGCGTGCTCCTTGTCCTTGCTGGTCTCTGAACACATTCCGGTTGCATTGAGACTTGAATTGGAAGATCGCTAGATTGTGTTATTCAGGCGCAGGATGCTAAGAGCTATGTTACTATTCTTAGTTTGTAAATTGTCCTTTTGATACCATCTTGTTTTCTTTTGTAGGTATAAATAAAAACAGTTGACAATAACTTCTGAACCTTTCATTGCTTAAACATTCTTTGCCAAAGAGTTGAATTCCAGAAGAAATGGTTGTCCCTTAACAATATTGTTGAAGACGTTAGACTAACCCCTGAAGGACCGAGTGGTATTGATGGATACCTAGGTAGTGATGGGCTTGGCTCTCTGCCTCAGCAGACAGACAGTGATAATGGTGCCTACTTAGGTTGTGTTTTGTATGGGCCCGTTCTGGGTGTCTGCTGCTAGTATCGTGAACTGTGCTGTGAAGGGTGGGAAGTGACACCGCTCCCTCCACTGAGGCCATAACTTGGGACTGCCACTCTGCGCCCGTCGGGCTCCCCTACAGGCATCTTGGCAGCACTCCCTTTAAGTTTGTTCTTGTAATCTAGGAAGTAAAACTTTGCGGAAAAGAAGCTCTTCCCTTTGGGCTGCCAGCTTCAGTTTGGGGGGTGCTGGCATGTGACTGACTGCGCTAAGACTCACCACAAGGCCCTTCCAGAGCAATGGTTGCAGTAAGCGCCTTAGGCCTTGCTGCTGCTGCTGCTGAAGTTCTTTCAAGGCAGCATGTTTGGTGATCCCTTTGTTGCGTCTCTAGGAGGCTTACCGGGGGGATGTATTGATAAGAGCCTCTTAAGAGCAAGTACTTGGCTGAACTCCCACATTTAAAATTTTTCTGGTTTTAATTTTAACATATGGGGCCCAGTTGTGCAAAGTTGCCAAGGGAACGTTTGAAAATGGCTTCTTCCATGTCCTTGTTGAGGGGTGGAGGTGGAACATCTTTGAGGCTTCTCAAATTGGCATTGGGAGACTTAACTTCTTTCCTTTAAGAACTGGAAGAAAACGGAGATGCAATTAGAATTCAGACTGACTGAATTGCCTTCTAAGCTGATGGACAATCAGTATATTCCTAATGACCAGCTTGTAGTGGGTGTCATGGGTGTTGAAGATCAAGAGGGAACCCTAGGCTCCACCCCACGCCCGACAGCTCTGACTTCCCCGCTGATGACCTCTCGGGCATGATTGCTGTGATCTGGCTGGAACCTGCCCTACAAGAGTAGCTGGCACCCATCGCTGCCCTGCAGTCACTGTCCTTGTGACGTCGCTCCAAACTGGTTCCTGCACTGGAACACCTATATAAGATACTCTCGGATGTGTGTCTCGTTTGCCTAAGCCTTCTAGAGTGGGGTCAGTGCCACCTCGTGACTTCTTGTACTCGGCTCTTGTACAATGCTGCCTGGCCACCATTCTTCATGGCGTTGAATGTCACCTGAAAATCTCTTCCCCCTTACCTGTCGGGATGGCTCACCAGGGTGCCTTGTTCATATTTCTTCACACATTTATTGCCTAAATGACTTAAGTCTTTGATCATGTGCCAGCAATACCTTATAGCACCCACCTTTGGTCACGTACAAGTAGAAGAAGTCACAGTAGAAGATGGTTTGTACTACTCCAGACACCACAGCGATTTGGTCATAGAAATTCTCCGTCTGGTACCGCCAGATCCAGTTCGCCAGGTATAGTGCCCGGTACAGACCCAGGAAGAACAGGTAGTGAGTGGTAATGGTCTCGGCCTCCCCAGTCTTGCTGATCATGAAGAGCTGGGGTAGGATAGCCACCGATTCCAGGTAGATCGAGAAGGTCCAGAGGATCTGAGCCAAAGAAGGGCGGTCAGACAGGCCGACTGCAAAGTTGTATCAAGAAAGCTGTGTACTCGGAGAACAAAGTTCAGCGTGCACAGAAATCACGCTTTAACTTGGAGCAAAATAAATAGTGGATACAGCAGGGACGTTTCTATAGAATTCACTTCCCTAGTTAACATCAGAGATTGTTTGAACTCCAAAAGGAGATCATGAACGCCAGCATCAGAATCCTCCCCCACCCCAAAAAGTGCTTGTTAACAACCCTTGCCTGGCCCAGACACGGCATTCAAATCTCTGAACCGTTACTGCACTCGGCCTCTGCTTATCTGTGGGACGTCGGGTCTCCACAGCCAAGGGGCTGCTGAGAGGCCGCTTTAAGTGGAGCCCTGTGAAGAGCTGGTTGGCAATTTCTTGGAAACTTGCCCTGGAACAATACACGTGTATGACAGATGGTTCATGGGACCATGGTTGGGACAGTAG